GGCCACCTCCACGTGCATTGCGCCCAGAGACAATTCCCCGGCCATCCTGCAGGGGATATCCGCATATTATTTCATAAACTAGGAGATCAAACCGGCTAGAAAATGCCATCGCATTGGTTACCCAGGTCGGTGACTTTGTGCCGTTGAAATCGAATTTCACCGCCATCTCCGGACTTCTTGTGCCCGGTAATTGGAGCACTTACAGTCCAATCTCATTAATCTCGTTTCGATCGCCCATGGGAACTTGAAGAACCGCGAGACAACCGGTCGCCTCTTCCGTGGAGTTCCGAGGAGTTCGAAGATGTAAAAATAATCCCGAGAGGAATCTTGTCCTTCTTGAAGACTCCCATCGTCAGAGACAATGCCGATAAGCATCTCGATAATTCGAAAACTAGTCCGAGAAAAAACCACGCCAAGCGAGGAAAGACGTGGAATAAAGCTCGATGAAATATTCATTCTTCATTCAATTAATCTTGATTTTCAAGACGCGACTGCGTCTCCGACAAATGCACGAACCTCTCCCTTGAGACTCTTTACTACCGTCATGCCTCTTCCAGGCATTGATTTCTCTATAAACAGCCAGTGCTGGTCTGAAAATCTTAACTTCACTTTTGGTATTAATTCATCTTTCCGAATTCTCCCAAGAACACGTGAAATGAAGGTTAATAAAATAATAGTTCCTCAGTTAGACCTGCGCGGATGCGTCTCCAACAAATACACGAGCCTCTCCCTAGTGCCGCGGCTCTTTACTACAGGCATGCCTCTTCGCGGCATCTATTTTCCTATAAACGGTCATTCCTGCGTTAAAACGTTAATTTCACAAATTCGTTCTTACACACGGTACATATCATTGTTCTTCCAGGATCCTCGAACCGTGTCATCCGTGTGGACGCATCCTCGCATACGATGGGGACATTCGACGTGCCGCATAATGAATGGACTGCGCCATGACGGTACGCGCTATCGTAATTGATTGTAGCGCCATTGCGGTTTGGCACCCGGTGCCCGGAAGTGTTCACAATTACTACAATGGGAACGGCCGAAGTTAACGATTAAATATTCATTTCCGGGGGCGCCGGTCCTCCCGAAAATCGGAGCTTTTGGAATGGCGATGAAATTCGAAGAAAGGGTTGAAATCGCGGACCCTTTGCGGCTCGCATGGGAAGATTTCGAGCCGAGACGAGAGGGCCTCGATTGGACGTGTACGTGACTGCGTTTCCGGCGCGGTTTCCCCGCTCATTAGGCGAGCCGCGATTTATTTCGCGGGCCTGTTCCTTCTCTGCGAAATAAAAGGGGCAACCGAGCAAAGGAGGACGCGGAACGGGCGCAAAGGCGGTCGAAGAACGGCCCAGGGTGGGAGCTTTAACGCGTCTTTAAGAAGAGACCCTGAGGAGCCTTTCAAGCCTCGTAGACTTCCTTAAAAAGAAGAAGGAAACAATTCTGGACAATCGCCTGGACTTTCCCGGAATATTTCCCTCCTTCTGGGGAGCGACAAAATGGTTCAAGTTCATGACTAAGTGACCCTGCGCTAAGTATTACGGAATTATATTTTAGTAAAGTCGGAGTATCTCTCTCAAGCTTGATTTACTTGGGTCGACTTCACGGGGCTCCTTCTCGTCCACAGATTAAACGCGGTCCCAGGCAAACTCTATTTTCCTGGCAAACTTTCCGCAATATCCGGCCCCCTTTTTCCGCCGACATAAACCGCGAATCGTGCCTAATCGTCACGCGAGCGTATCGGCCGCTTTACACCAGGCACAGATCGTTTTTTATGGAAACCTGCAGGACCACCGTAATAAAGTTTATGTCCGCTCTCGCGGGGCATACGAGCTGGAAAAAGAGGAGAACCGACCTGTATCATCCCCTTGCAGGTTTAAAAGGCCATGCCAGTGGATGGCGATAACACAATGGCGAGGAAACGTACACATAGATGTATAGAAAGGTGAATTTCAGACCGAAATATTACCACGCGATGATTCCCGTCTATAAAAGACATTTAATTAGAAAAGAAAACATAAGCAACGATATGATTTTCAGGAGAGTCCGATCGGCTGATCAGTTAACGTCGTCGACTCATTTTAGGCCCTCCTCGGATATGGACCTACAAAGAGGCATATTTTATGCCAAAACATTGCAAGTCGGTGATTACTAGTCATATTAGGTCCTATTAGATAAATAAAATGATAATTAGCGCTATGAGTCTCAGGAGAGTCTCATCAGCTGACCACCGCAACGTCATCGGCTCGTCTTACGCCCTCTTCGCGCCCACTTGGCATGATGCTCTCATGAAAATATGTATTGCACTTTCCGTCAGGGTTTGCGCCCGACATTCTCCGATAAGTAGATCGGAAATCGATAGGGGATAGCTTTATTGCTCGTCAACCACCTCGAGAGCTTTATCCGAGGGAGGCGCATCGATTCCCTTTGCGAAGCCTTAATTACCCAAAAAGGCTGATCTTTAACTCGCTGTCCGCTATCACCTGGCATGATAAGAGGGACCCCGAAGAAGAGGGTCCCTACGTTTTTCAATCCCCCCAAGATGGCGTAAAAATGGAAGGGAGCGACTACTTAAAAAGAAAGGGGGGCAAAGGAAGTAACCACATGCGCTGCACTTCGGTAATACAAGGATTGCGGATATGCAAGGCCGTAAAATGCGGCCCCGGGCAAACAAATGGTACCGACATAAAATCCAACATAAAAATGCGGTCTGCAAGCTTCGCCCCTCCCCCGCGGAAGTGCACGGTCTCCTGGGTATGTATTATTTAGAGTTAGTCGGATGCTTTCGGGAAATACGAAGCTTCTCTACTCCTTATGCCGTACGTTGCTCACCTGGTGACATTAACACCGCAGACTAGCTTTCATTTTCCGCATATGTAAACCATTAAGGCATCGGGGCATTCCTCTAGCTCTCGTTTGACGATCCGTATGAGGATCGTTTCAAACCTCCTGCGATTTTTCAAATGAATTTCCCTTGTCGTATAAAAAAATCAGACTGGATCTTCGCGTGACTTTGTGATACTCCTTTGCACCCGCGGAAACGCGGTTTTTAATGCCCCCTTATTCTTAATGTGTATTATTTGAATACTAATAAAGGGGAAAAACCTCCGCCGGTTGTCCTGGAATTTTGCGAGTGAATTATTCTAATCGTACGAAAGAGTTCAATTTGATTATCACGTGATTTAATGGGAAATCACTGAGGAAATGCAGTTATCACAGGGTCGCTTGATTCTCCAAATTAATGTGTATTATTTAAAAATGAGAGAATGGGGAAAAAAACCTGATTATGATGTGAAGGATTTATCACTCGGCGCCCCGGGGACCGTGCACATTCATTTCGATTTATATCAACATCGGGTATTTAATAGCTCCCATAAATGCCCAGGACCGGACGAGCTCCACTGTAAAGACAAGCCGGCGTTGGCTGGATGCATATTTCATTTTTAATTCCGGAAATGGTCCCGGCGTTCCGCTTTTTGTCGCCCCCGCGATTGGTGTCGCGCCGAAGCGCGGGGATGACACCGGAAGCGACTCGCCGTTCTATCTGCCCTCGAAAACTTCCACCTGAAACGGAAACTTCGTGGATTTCTCAGTTTCCGGGGTCCCAGTTCTTAATACGCGCTTCGGGCTGACGGACGAAACGAATTACAAGTTTCCGTGCGGTCGTCGCACCGAACTTGCAAACCTCTCCAGTTGGACGCGAAGAAACGCAACTTCGGATGGTGTCCTTCAGGAGATGATAATTCTAGAGTTTCCGACCTCAATGATGCAGATGAAGACCTTTTACTTAACTAACTTTCCAAGCCATTTCGTGTTTTTCTCCTCTTCATCCTTGTAAGGAAAGGAGGAGTCTATCATGGCGTCGTAGCTCCTTCCAATATATATCCGATATATATTTTTTTTCACTGAAAAGAACGCAAAGATAAACAATAGGGCACATATCATTCCGTGGGCAAAAGCCGCTTTATATTCTTGCATTTATTTTTCTTGGGTTTTCGTTGTGTATCCAATTTTAAGGAATTCTTTTTGTACTTGCCCGAGACATCCGCTGCAGTCGAAGATACAACGAGACGTTGGCGTCAGAATTAATTACTATGTATAGAGAATAGTTTTAGGTAATATAGGATTAACTCATCCCTGTGATAACAAACATCCTTTCAAATCTCTTACCAACAAGTCCTACAAGTCCCGCGGTGATGATCTACCCATGACGACTTGAAAAAAAAAAAAATGGATTCTGTTGTGATCCACCTAACCTGGAAAGGGGAGCAAAAGAACAAGCAACCGGATTCCCAAGCGCGGTCTAATTCATTTCATTCCTGAAAGAAAATTGTCGCAATCACGGACTTCCGGGAGTACCTTTCCAGACTAAAATTAATTACTCACGGCAATCTAGAGGGTCCTTATTAAAGAAATTCCATGGCTCCGGTGAAATTGATTTTGTAAGAATCAGAGGTGCATCCCATTAATATCAGACGGAAGTGATTTTGCGAAAAGAATTTTATGACCAAAATTGGATTTAAAGAATTTGGAATATTAGACGCAGAGATGAGGAGTATCCTTAAGTTGGGTCGCTAATGGGGGATACAGGTGGCAAGTGCGCGAGCCGCCCGCATTCTTTACCGAGGGCAGCACAGAACGCGATCGCGTGACCCAGGCCGTGAGCCAGAGATGAGATGGGAGATTGCTCACGGGCAGGATCGTGCGATCGCATCCTGTGCTGCCCTCTGGTTTCGTACTTTAGCTTTCATCATCATACCATCAAAAGCGAGCAGTGTGGGTAAGCGTAGGTAAGCCACCACCGTCAACTGCCGCATGGTATTACCATCACGAGTACGTGAGCCGCCAACGGCGACTGGTAGATGGTATCGCCATCGTGAGTGCGCGAGCTCCTATCAGAAATTCGTTTCGCCGCCCTTGGGGGCAAAAAACGGTGAAAGCTAACGTACGAAACCAGAGGGCAGCACAGGACGCGATCGCACGATCCTGCCCGTGAGCAATCTCTCAACTCATCTCTGCTCATCTCTGGTGACCAATTTCTCAACTCATGTCGGGTTCAAAAAGTCAATTTGGCACTACTTGATACTGATTATTAGAACAAAAGTGAACAAAACCGGGTGAAAGGGAAAGTGCAACAGGATTGCAAACAATATTAGCAGGTGGTAAGATGAAGGGCTACGTATTTTTTAACATCGCGTGTTTGGCGGTGTACGTCAGTATAAGTGGAGTAATTGGTTTCACAAACGTGTATCCAAAACTCAAGAATTATCCTGTGAGAAAAGGAGAGGATCCGGGAAATCCTCTTTTCCTGACACCCTTAATCCAAGCTGGAAAGATAGAGGATGCTAGGAAACAGGCAGCAGTTCAGCATAAAGAGATGCTCGATGTCAACAGCTATGCTGGATATTTTACGGTTAACAAGGAGTACGACTCTAACATGTTTTTCTGGTTCTTCCCTGCAAAGGTTAGCATTCTTTCCAGGTTAATACTTTATGATGTGTGGTTTCATGGTCCAACGATTAGCATGTATTTTATTATTTAGATTAATCCTAAGAACGCGCCGGTGGTTTTGTGGCTGCAAGGCGGACCTGGCGCTACCTCAATGTTTGGTCTGTTCATGGAGAACGGGCCTTTCCAAGTGACACAGAACAAAACTCTGCGGATGAGGAAATATTCGTGGCATATATCTCATAATATAATCTTCTTAGACAACCCGGTTGGTACTGGTTTCAGTTTTACAAAGAACGACAAGGGTTACGCCACCAACGAGACTCACGTCGGCAGAGACGTTTACCATGCCCTGCAGCAGTTCTTTGAACTATTTCCTGAACTGCAAGAAAATGCATTCTTTGTTACGGGAGAGTCGTATGCAGGGAAATATGTTCCTGCGGTATCCCATGCTATCAAAGATTATAATATCAAAGCCAAATTGAAGATAAACCTGCAAGGTCTATCCATCGGGAATGGTCTTACCGACCCTGAAAATCAGCTGGTTTATAGTGATTACTTGTATCAAATTGGACTTATCGATGCAAATGCAAAAAACATCTTTAAACAATACGAAAAGCAAGGAGTAGAACTGATTCAAAAGAAGAAGTTTAATGAAGCCTTTGAAATCTTCGATAAACTAATTAACGGGGATTTGAGTGCCCCGTCGCTTTTCAAGAACTTAACTGGGTTTACTTATTATTTCAATTACTTGCACTCGCATGACGACAATGCAAGCGATTGGATGTCAGAGTGGATTCAGAGGTCAGACGTTAGGAAAGCTATTCATGTAGGCAATTGTTCATTCCATACAGAAGATACTACTGTAGAGGAACACCTTAAATCCGACGTCATGAAGTCTTTGGCGATCCTTATCACTGATCTCACTCAACACTACAGAGTTCTTTTATATAATGGTCAACTTGACATAATCGTCGCATACCCCCTGACTGAGAACTATTTACAACATTTATCATGGTCAGGGGCAGCAAAATATAAAACTGCACCACGTAAACAGTGGTGGGTCGACGGTGAATTGGCAGGTTTCACAAAAACCGTGGACAATTTAACCGAAGTTCTTGTACGTAATGCTGGCCACATGGTTCCTGCCGATCAGCCACGTTGGGCTCTTGATCTTATCACTCGTTTTACACATAATAAGCCATTCTAATTCTAATATAAATTGGCAATGGAATTATTTTATTTTTAAAGGCACCAAAGATTCCTAAACCATGTTAACGAATTATTGATGAACCAGAAGACAATGTAGTGATACTTATACGAAGATAATATCATCCCACAACTTGCATTACTAGATTGTACATTGAACATTGATAAATACTGACCTCTTGTTAAATCATAGCAGACGCCTGGCGCTATCTGTCCAATAAAATGAACCGAACAAACTGTTGCAATTTATATATATGATGTGATAATACTGAAGTGTATACAATCAATAAATTTATTCTTTTTGTACAATGATAACGAAGCTTGATACCAAATGATTGACTTTCCCGTTTCGACACAATAATTCATTGTATTAATATAGCAGGGATCATAATACGTTAGCACAGCCTTACATAAATTACTAATAGCTTGGCTAAAAATCCAATTAGGGATTATTAATTATATGTAACCTATTAGTCTAAGTATGGTAGTAAAAACTGGTCGACAATGGACACGTTCTTGTGCCATTCAAAGTGAGGTATTCCAGGCACTGTATGCAGTTTGAGTTTCCCTGCCTTATCTAAGGTTTTCAATCCTATAGAGTCCTTCAGATAAATCGGTCTATTGTACATTTCGATAACTGTCTCATTTCCATCGTAATATCCAAATTGACTGCTCTGCCAAGGACTGATCACTCCGTCATCAGGACCCCCGATAAGCACCATTTTTTTTAACTTTGTAAGACCATCTTTGAAGGTGGTGCCATTTTGGCAATGCTCGTCATTGTTAACAAATGGAAGAAATCTACTATACGTATAGTAGAGATCCTGTGTAACAAAATATACCAAATAATTAAATAAACCCATTGAGGTAGTTAACCTAACATAAATGATCACCTGATGATGAGGATCGTTCCAGTAATTCCCGACACTGGTTAATTGGCCCACCTTCGAGTAAAACAATTCATAGGCAGTTTCACAAAACAAATCCGGGAAAAATAGGTGCAAGAAATGCGCTGTGGAAGAAAGAATCATAAGATACAGAGAATTAAATGGAAAGAACGTTGAAATTAAAAATAGAATCCATACTTCCATACTGCCCAGCTTGCGGTGCACTCAAAGAAATGAAGTTCCGCACGTTATGCTGGGGGAATCTTTGCAGAATGGCTCGGGCTATCAGACCGCCTTGACTGTACCCTATCAGATGGATTCCCTCTGGAAAGGCAGCACTGATTGCCAAGACATCCTGCCCAATTTCTTCCACTTGTCTCCACATCGGATCCAGACTGCTCCATCCTGCATACCTCACTGTGTTATACAATGGAGTGTCCGGATGCATCTGCAAGATCGCTAGCTTTACATTTTCAGTTATCGAATAACTTTTTGGCCAAAATTGAAATTATGTGCTTTTCAGTATTTTTTTATTTTTACCGCCAAGTGACACGCAAGCGTACTGGACGAACATGTCGAACAAAGGCAGGCTGCTCACCTTTTGTATACGATCACTGATTAATTCCATGCTGGAACCCCCGGTGAGAATTCCATGGATAACAACCACGGCTCGATATGTTGTAACCACATCGCAAGTTATGCTCAGGATCGTCAGAATAATTAGAAAATACGTTCCTTTATCGCCTGTCATCTTCGCATCATGATCGAGCCTTCTACGCTACTGTACGCTACTGATCGTGACACTGTATATAGTAGTGAATTGGTTGCCATGGACAACCGTGCGCGCCGCCATCTTACAGATCCACGAGGAACTGCATGCACTTTTACCACAGAAGGTACGACAGTATTAAAATATTTTCTTACCAACGGCAGCAAGTGATCTACTTTCCCCATCGTCGGAAAGTTACTCCCTCGAGTTACAGTCATTCATTGCAGATAACAGCGAAAACGGTCAGCAAATCTCCGACATCGAGTTCATTTCCAACGGAAGCCCAACATCCCGACAGGCCGCCTGCTGGAATCCTCCAGTGAAGAACGCAATTTCGCGTGATTGGGATCAAGGTAAGGAACCTTTGTCAAATCAGGATATTTATTAACCCTTTCGTGCTGCAGGGGAGAGTAAAGTGGAGCAGAAAAGCCCTGAAAACACGCAATATTCGGCGAGAACGACTGGAGGAAATCTTTCAAGATGGCGGCGGCATGCGTTCAGCGTTTATCCCGTGAACGAGCATATCCTTCGTTTTACGAGTTGCACCATCGTTCCAGAAAAGAAACGCAAGTCGTGATTTGAAGAAAGTCCACTGGGTCACGTATATAAACCAGCGTAGGACCTCGTCGAGGTTTTTCGTGCCAACGGGAGTCGTCTTCTTGCCGGGGCGAAGCGGGACAACCGATCCAATTTCAGCCCTCGGCCGGCCAATATGGCGGAGGTCTGCAAAAAACGATAGATACGGCGCAGCTCCGAGGTGCACGAGGCCGGGGGCGGGCCTTTTTTGCGTTTAATCAAGGATATTCGTGGTCGGGTGGGTCGTCCCGCTCTCGTACTCGTATTTCGGACGAGCCGGACAAGTAAGTCGCGCTCTTCCTCGGCGTGGAACGAAGGAGGGCGGATATCTCACCCTCTTCCCTGGGAAACACTCGTGGTTCTCATCTCTGTAATGGTCCGGCAACGAGTTAGCTACCCTCGCCGAGACGGGCCAAAATAAAACCCGGCCCACCGTGAAGATTCGCCAAGAAGCGGGAACCCGAAGAAGCCGCTCCGCCAGGACTGCATCGACGGATTTCGAGAAACGAGAAAAAAGAAGTTGCATCTTGATTTAAAACGAGCTAGTGATAAGACCCGTGATCCGAAAATCGCTTACGCATAATAAACATTCCACGGCGGCGATCACAGGTCGTCGTCAATCGGTACGCAAAAAAAAAAAGAAAATTGGTTGACCCAAAGAAATATGCACGTAAGAAACATAATTGTCTCTTGCAGTTACATGTGATTAATATGTCAATATATGTATATATATTTGTTTCAGTCAACTAATCTTTTCTCTCAGTGTAGGGTATAGATAATTAAGTAATGGCGTAGTTAATGTACGTTTTGAAAAATTTTTTGGTATCGGTGTGCCGGGGCAACCCTTCCTGGACGCCCTTGCGAAGCGTGCCGCATCTCCCAGGCGGTTTCCCGGAAAAAGGGTTTCCCGACACAAGGGTCGAAGTTCGCCGAGAGGACGAAGGGGTTGACGGGGATGGCTTGGGAAAGGAGCGGAGTGCGAGAGAGGCCACGGCGTCGGAAAACGGGCGAGAGATTAGCGTTAATTACAGAGTCGAGCCCGCGGCGGGGTTAGGACGAGGCGAGTATTTGTCACTCGACGCCGCTCGGCTCTCCCGGCGCTCCTTGCTGAATATTAATAACCCACCCTCCGACCGATGAATTGCACGGCAGACAACGCTACTCATTAGGCGACAACGTTGATTTCATCATGCCAACGAGCGCCGCGACCGCGCGGCCCGAAGAGGAGCAAGAAAAATTGCTGTCGTTGGGAGCCGGTCGATGCCAAAATGGTAACCAAGCCTGCGAATGTCTTCAAGATTCGTCCCATCGAAGGATTCTGACGAAGAAACAACAAAGCCGAAGAAAGTGTTCTCTTGTGTGTGAGTGTATGAGTGTAAATCAACAACTAAGAAGATGAATACTCGACCAAGACAACAAGGTGGACCATCCTCAAAGAATTATCAGCCTTTTCGCGATTCAAACGTCGAGATATCGGCCTCAGGGTAGGCGGTCGATGTCGACTTTCCTGGAAATTGCATAAAAATCTTCAACGGGAGTTGCCATCACGACCTCCCGGTGTATGGGTGCGCCTTAACCGACCGACGACGCGTCCCTCGATGGCGCGGTCCCTCGGCGGCGGTCCCATCCCGACCAGCGAATGCTCGGATATTCAAAGTCGGGAATAGTTTATTCATGGCCGGTCGGAACTTAGAAAGATATTGGAACCGGCCTGGTGAGGCGATATTGGTCGGGCGGAAGTGTCCCCTCGGGAAACGGGAAACGGGGAAAACGGGAAGAGCGTCTCCCGATCCGATAAAGCGAGGAGGCGGCCTCCCTCCCGCGGCCCGTCCTTTCCCGCCGCGGCGTGACACTCGCCTCGCCAATAAAATTCAAATAAACTCCGCTCTGCATACCGAATTACCGCAGCCTCCATTACGGTGCACAGGGACCGACAGGAGGCTGCGTCGAGGTCGCACAGAACCCTTCGGGTTCGCCCTTATACCTCTCTTCGGGTTCGCCCGAGCCATGTTCTTCGCATTCGCCTGCGTCTCGCTCTTCGGGTTTGCTCGCCGAACTTTCATCTGGTTCCTCGAGGGAAGGTCAGCTGGACGTTCCCAGCAACGCCCCAGATTTCGACATTACTCAAGGCGGATCAACCTGCCAGCCTCGGGACGGACCATTGTTCGCCCCTGCCAGCCCGATTCGCCGGCCTTGGTTGGACCCACGTCGATACCGAGCCCTGGCACCCTGAAGACGATGCCGAAGAAGCCTCCCCTAGTGGATATAATTTCAAGCAATGGAAACAGGGAGAAAGGACACGCTAAAAATCAAGACACTTCATTAAGGTAACAAGAAATCCTTCGCCATGAAGAGTGCTCACCGACTTCTTCTCGCGATCCTTGAAGAGGGGACATCTTTGCATTGTGACTCATTACTTTACCTGCACTGTCCAGACAAACGTAGGTAAGGACAATTATAAGGGGCATGAAAACCACGTTCACTCGAAAGCTCTGCCAGGCTTGAGAGTGTAAAGACGAGCTCGAAAGGGTCGGGTTTCCTCGCGTTAAACGATCGCTGGAACCCCGTGCCCTATCGGATCGTCTACTCCCCGACTATTAGTATAATCGCAGGAGGGTGCACGACCCTATGACTCTGGACCTACCCCCTGTAGTACGCTTTAATTCTTGCCACTCCCCTGTGCGCTTTACTTAACTCCTTGCGCGCACCTACCCCTCAAGCGTCAAGTGCCAAGGCGACTCGAAATGGACGTTCACTTCCGACATTTCCGCACCCCTTTCAAAATCCACCCCAAATTCTTCCCCCTAACCATCCTACAAAAATTATGCACTACTCCGTAACCTAGAGTAACTGAATATAACATTTACATCCCTTTCACCACGTAAAGTGTCTCCGAGATCTGGGAAAAATGAAAGGGGTGTTTTTTTTTCTTTTTCGTGAAACACCCTAAATATCAAACCCCATGATTGTTGACGAACCGCTTCTTATGGCCCGCAAAGAACAAACTACCCCCTCTGTGCAACGTTACACCGCGTGTCTAATTGATCGTTAGGGGGGTTGGCAACCCCCATTGCAGGGATGCATGGGGGTGACTTGGCACCTCGGTCCACGTTCCGGGTGCACCTGATTTCACACTTGTTCGTTCTCTTGCTACCCCGACGTCTCCATTAATAAACAGCTGCAATTTTCCGTCCCATTGTGGGCCGCCCTCGGGGGACGTCGAGTCGATATAAATCGTGCCGATTCTGGAAAATGGCGGACCTCTCGCTGATATTCGACATTTCGGAGCCCCGTTTTATCGCCGGGCCTGGAACGCGTCCCCTAAGGCGCGTATCGAAACTGTCGAGGAAACATATCGAAATGAATACGTATTAATTCAGGGATGGGAGCCGGTGGCGAATTGAAACTGCGACGACACTAGTTTGTATTCACATGGAGGGATTTTCCCCGAAATCCAAAATGAAGCCGAAATATCAATCCACCCTTTACCCCATTATTCACCTTGCTCACGTAATTCCCATTCTCTGATAACAGGGATTAATTAGATCCCGTCATAAATTCTGGAATAATTTTTTTTTCAATTATGAACATACGCGTTAGGCCTTCATTTGTCAGTGTGGAATCGATTTTGGTGATTTTGGAGGAAATTGGCATCGATAAGTCGCGATAAGCGATCATTCTTATCATCGTAGGTGGACGCGAATGGAGCCGGACGGTCATCCGGTCAATTTGGAGCGGACATCCGAAATTGGCCGTGTAAATCGTGCGTAATTCATGCGTAATCCGTGCGTAATCCGTGCCACGTGTCAGGATTGGTGGAGGCGCCAGCCGACAACTCCAGCCCGCGAAACCCGTCTGGAGGCCCTAGGGTTGGTCCTGGGGTCCCTAGAACCCGGACTCGCAGCGGCCGTTCGTTACTTCTCATTCAATTCCAATTTGTCCGGCTCGCCGGGATTAGAAAGTGGCTTGAAAGCGATGCTAATTCGCGCTCGCTTCTGGTTTCTAATTTGCGATTTCCCCGGGCGCGCTCTTGGCCCTCTCCTCCCTTCTTCCGGCGCCCATTACCATAACCGAGGACGACAAGCCGAGGGCCGCGATTGGCCGGCTAGGGAATTTTTTTAAAATTACCTTTATCCCTCTCAAATTAAATCTAAAATACTCCCACTCCTCGTTTATATTCAATAATTAATATTATAACGATCCCTGTAGATCAATTCAAGTCTTCACCCTGAGGAGCATCCTGAAAATTGTTAAGAATTTTTATTTACACTAATATTATTTATTATCATCGTGCTGAGTACGTCTTCGTTTAATCTCGCATGGGATATTATTAATCGGGTGTGGTTGATTATAATTCATAATAGTTCATTCCCAGTTTGTAAGCGCGGCTAGGATCCATCGATCAGCTGATCGTCCTTTTGCGGCCAAGGATC